GGGGAGGGCTAGTGAACTCCGGAAATTTACACATGGCTTTCATAGTTCTGAACAAATTCATGTACCCTGTAGCAATTCCGCCTTGACATCTTCTACGAAGGTAAAATGACCTTCAAAATCAATGTTGCTTCAATTGTTTTCGCATTTCTAGCCAGAAGGGAAGGCACATGAAAATGTACAGTTCCTGGTACATTATCAACAATAACAGCTTCAGGACCGCTTATTCTGGATTCAAGAGTCCAACTGACCTACATTAATCATGCAACAGACGACTCATTAATACAAAACTCACCCCCACCCCAGGTAGAAAGGCCCTAGAATCAAAACATGAATATGTCAACCACCTGCACCTAGATTTGTATTTCAAAATACCTGTCAAATATAAAATGCAAAGCGTCCTTAATGGGAATTATCCTACTCTCTCCGCAACGCAACCAACAAAGTACACGCATCTACCCAAATGTAAATCTCAATATGCAGCAAATGGGGGATATTGGCAGTACTGGTTAAAATCATCAAACCATGTATCAAAAAAGAATGCAACAAATTGAGCACTTGCAGAAAATTAACTCTTAATCAAACTTTAAAATCTTCCCTAGTCTGACTGAACAGCCAGGAAATATCAGGAGCATAAAAGTCTTGAACAAGCTACGAAAGCAGAGTGGGAACACAAAAGTCAATCGCCCTCTCACAGCAAAGACGTTCACTTCTCGTTATTCAAGCATCATCATCATCATGCTTTTCTTTATTCCTGCACGTTCTTAGCAGCAGTTCGCTGTTGCAGCCTTCAACATGCATTCCTGTCCCTTTCTTCACCACAACAGGTAGATCTACTGCACTTGTTGACAGATGGGCAAACTTTACATTTTATTAACACTTCCATTGTTCCCTCACAGAAACAAAGCCTCTCAGAACCAGACATTAATGCACACAAGAATGGTGACTCTCCTAACTTATCATGCAACATTATCATTTAGAAGTGCATATTATTTTGCATTTTACTGCTTGTTTAATAACCCTTTCATTCATTTACATCTTTTATACTCAAACTGTAAGAAAATTCATAAATGGATAACCTGGAAACGACGTGGCCATTGCCTACCGTAAGGTACTGCCCCAATATTAAACTGGAAGGACTGCGGAAAACCCGCCATGACAGCAGGCCTCCAGGCCAAGATTAGGACCTGATACATTCAAAACACAAAGGAGAGGTAACCACTCAACTACAATATTCAGTAATGTAGGTTCTGTTAACGAGCCACACTTCGCAGGTCCACCATCAATTGCTACTTTGTACAAGAAACTTTTTCTTCTCAAGCCTTGGCGCTGTTTTGCTAAGGTGTAATTCCCAATTTGTTCTGCTTCTCACAATGCATTAGTTTCTCATACACAGTAAATGACAACAGCTGTTCTATTTCATGCATTCAAACAGCAACATTTGTCCCCATCGATCATCCTGGCATCTTCCTAATCGGTGACCAGGAGGGAAAGACGTTAACTGCTCAGTATCAACACTGTGTTACACACAGTATGAACAGTGTGTACCTGCTTTGCTATAAGTCAAACCAATGTCGACAAAATAATTACAGCTGACCATAACAGCATGAGAAACGTAGGATTTGAGGTTTTCACAGCGGTTGAGTCTGTAGATTGCTGTCTTCTGGGTTGTTGCGCCATGTAATCTGGTAGTTCATCGCCCTGATGACAGAGGCAGCATGGCCTATAAAACGGTGGCGGACATCTACCAGACTACATGACACAACCCAGAAGACACCAATCTTCAGCATGAGACACCTTTTACAAATGATTAAATAGTGTGCCAATGTCAAGGGCTGTTTTGCAGATTGACAGTACACCCGAACACTCACTCACTCCCTCCTGCAGAAAAAGGGGGAGTTCTGAAGATCAAGCTAATGGCATCTCAAAAAACAATGTTGCTAAGTTTACATCTGCATTCTCCCGCAATGCACTCTGTGCTACCAACATGAAATCCTTGAATATGACGCACAGATTTATGGAGAAACTTCAGACAATGAACGTGGTATTTCGATGAACATGATACATGCAGTAAATGATAGATAGTACAACTCCATTTCACCAAATCCTGATATACCAGTCTTAATTTCATGTAATTGATATTTTTTTATTACCAACCTAACTTAAATAATATTTTCTGGTTTGGCAATGGAGAGAACAAGATAATATCTTACTTATTCCTCTTCATTCACATTTCAATACTAAAAAGCAATCAAATTCAAGATACAATCAAAATCTGCATTTGGTATAATTCAAGAACATTACATAAAATCTGACTTTAGAAACATTCGTATTGTTTAGGGTCAAAATTGAAAAATAAAAAGCAAGAATCTGAAACCATATTTTGTTTCCTATATTTAGGCATATAAATTGTGTGGGAGTCATGTTAGATTTTAATAAAAGCAATGTACTTTTATCTACTTTCCTTTAAATGAAGATAATAATGCACCAGTCATCCTCTCAATTTGCAAAATATAGATACTGCCACTGTATGTCACACTAGCTGCTTCTCGAGGTAACCCACCACCAACAAAATAATTTCTCCAGCATGCACACACTGGCCGCAGCCAATATAAAGCCACACTCGGAACTTCAAAACCCATCTCCAGCCAAGCCAACTTCACACACAACTAGATCAGACCCATAAAACATGCAATTAAATTCAAATGACCAGCAGTTTTTGAACTTTTATGCACATGAGTTAAATAATGCATTCCTTTTATACCAAACCACTTTAAATGTTCACAGAAATCTTATCAAAATCACGACACTGGGCCTAGGTTTCTTAGTCCTTCAGTATTTTCCTTATTACCTGATTCAGGAAAACGCACATTTACGTTCAGCATCGACGTGTGATACGAGATGGATAAATCAAGTCTCAATCTTTGTCAACAGTACTCTCAGCTGGTAATGATAACATGGTTTAAAAATGACATGACAATGTACAAAAGACCTTCATAAGCAAATAATACAAATGAATGTAGAGTAGATTCCTGCAGGCATTAAAGAAATGGGTAATTTAAACATTCCAAAATGCAAGATGTGGTAAAAATTACATAATTTCAACACCAAGGGTTATGTAACTGAATACTTGGAAGGGGAGTAATTTGTGGGAGGTGACGGCATCAACAGTTACATAAGAGTCCATATTTTATAGTCAGTATCTGTCCAATTGTGGGTGTCTTGGCCTGGCTCACAAGTGTGTCTCAAGCACAGAAATAAAACAAGTGCCAATGTATCACTCAGTGAAGAAGGCACGCATGCAAGACACGGACTGGTGCACACTAACAAAACAATAAAAAATAAATAGAATAGAAAAATGGCCTGAATTATTTTAGTTCCGTACTTTCCCCGGTCAGCAAAGAAAGTGAAAATTAAACAACTTTATTATTATTATGATGTCTATGTGCCTAAGCAACGACATGAAGATGAATAGGAGCCAAAGATATAATTCACTTCATAAGAATTAAAAGATAGATTCACAACTTGTTTCTGTCACACTACCGTAAGCTGAAACTTTTAAAGAATTTAAATTATCTCCTTCCCTACATATCAGAATGTTCAGAAGAAAATCAATGATATCACACGTTTATTGACAATCTTCAGACTGGCATTTTTGTTATGACTGTCCCAAATTATTCTTTCCTTTATCCCGAACTACGGACTTCAAAATTACTGCAGGCCCACAAACAACTAGAGAACTTCACATTTTGAAAAAGGAGGGCAGTGCAGAGGTAAAGATAAGTATTATATTCTATTTTAAAACCAGTTAATATCACAGTATCAGTTCAAATATTTTACAACCTAAGGTTCAACACAGTTGAAACAAAAGCCCATTCATAAGCCAGCTCAAAATCATTGCAACTTCATTTTAATATTATTCTCCCATGCCTTGCAAGTAACACAGCAATATCACCTACATCCAGTAACCATATTTCCCAAACACATGTAACCTGAATATACAATGTAACAAAACAGAAAAAAACACTCGTATAACTTCGTTCATTTCTCATTCATGCTAAACCCGTAACTTATTATAAACATCAATAAACAATGATGTGAAATATTACAACAAAGGGTACATAATGTTGTATAAATCACATCATCTTAAAATGAGATAATTTAGAGTAATCAGCCGATGTCTAAAGGAAAATGGTGTCCGCTCTGTAACACAGCGAACACAACAATGAGTGTTCAAACTTTCCTGAAATTCAACCAAAAATAACAATATCTAACAGGGCTACAAAGAAGGAAATATTCTCTATAGATTGTCTACAAAATTTCAATTCTTTGAATTAAAAATGCTGCAATGAGGTGTATGTGCAAATGATATCCTCTGAAAGTATAAATTTTGATCAAAGGAGAAAAAAAATTTGTCTGACCGATCGCAATAAAATAAAAATGTTACCCAGTATTATTTCCATGCATACTGGTAGAGAAAATCAGAACTGAAATGGGCATCCGTGCTCAAGCGGTCTTTAAAAACGCGCTAATACGTCATTCTTTAACAGAATGTATTGTGTGTGACAGAAAATCCATCATAGCAGACGTCAGAACACAGGTGAAAGTAATTTTTTTAGTAAAGAGATGAACAGGACAATTTTGGAAACGAGGGTGGCTACACAATATCTTGCACATCTTGTTAACGGTGGTAGGTGAATAAACTAATAACCCGCATTGATGAGGAAGAGACAAAGTACTGAATAAAATTATTTCCTATAAACTGTACCTTGTTCACTGTCCGCCAGGCAGCAGCGAAAAGCAGCTCGCTACGAAAATGTATCCTTGTCACGTTTGATACAACACAACAGAGATCTGATCTATCCAACGTGAGACAGGACGGACGGACAGACAGACAGACTATCCCCACAACATATTTCCAACTCACCATGTGTAACAAAAGGACAAACTCACTAGCCCAGTGCATAAAGTACAAAATGTGGTAAGAGTGGAACAACACTTACCGTCTTGCAGGTGGTCCATACGGGTCCAAGCCATCTCGATCATATCTGTGAAAGTACACTCAGCACTATAAAATTCCACATTTACATTAATTTAAGATAAAATTCAATTATAGAATACCATGCACTACATAATAAAACAAAGGGTTGATGTAACGTGAATATTGCAAGTCTATCATAATGATCATGTCATATACGACGTAAGGAACGAAGGCTTCCGCAGAAGCAAATTCCATTTCAAGCAAACTGAATGGCACAGTCCTCCCTCGGCAGTTTACATTTATCATCACCTTCAGACAAGGTATTTTCATTTATACTTTCATTAAAAAACAGGAAATATTTTTTACATTCACAAATGACAATTGGAAAAAAATCAAACACAATTACAAACCTGAAAAAACAAAAAAAGGTACTGACAAATGCATGTCTCAAAACATTACATTTCCAGTAACCTTACCATCACAATTTATCCACTTCAATCACTTCTGACCCAATACAATGTACGTAACCACGTTGCACTTTCAGGCAAAACTAAACCACACAGATTTTAATATGAAAACATCTTCCTCCCATAAAAGAGAGGGTAGAGGAAGAACTGTCCCAAGAAATAACACTTTCATATCTACCAATTTCTGTCCTTTCATATAAAATATTACAACCCAACACTGCAACTTCAAATGAGAAAGCACATCCACTAAAATCCACATATGCCGCACTTACCCTCCGGCCCCATAACTTGAAGATGGTGGAGGTGTTCTTCTGCGGTAGATGTCTGTGGAGATGCGGGCACCACCGTAGTCAGTGCGGCGCTCAAAGGAGGGTACCGGTGGCATTGACGGGCGGTCGTAAGGACTGCGGCCAACATCAGAAAAGGATCGGCGCTCGTATGGGGTCCGCATCATGTCTGGGTAAGAGCGCCTTTCTGGTTCTCTGTCAAAAACGTCGAAGCCCCTGCGATTCAAAAGCAAGTCACAAAGGTCACTTCAGAATACACAGTTTTATTAGGAAAAAGAAGACAACAGACAATTCACCTGTCGCGAGAAGCCATGACTGGCGGAGGTCCACGCGACGGGTAGTAGTTGTCGTAGCCTCGATCATAATTGTCATAGTAGCCATTCCTCATACTAGGTGGAGGCAGGCCTGGCCTTCTATCATAGTCCCCTCGGCCATCTCTCATATACGGGGGGGCACGTCCCATTCCTCTCATGCCGCCACGTCCTCGCATTGGGCCAAAACCCCCTCGTCCACCACCTCTGCCACTCTTTTTCCCTGTTGATTGCTGTAACATTTCCAAGACACTATAAACAATAAAGCAATCATAGAAACACAAATATGTAACAAATCCAAAAAGGCCTATTACAATGTCCATGACTTATGAAAGAACTTTATTCCCTGAACTTACCTGAAAGTACCAATACACACACACCTACACACAAGCTATAATATCGTATTTCCTCGATTTCAAGATGGCGTGTATTGTAAGATGCACCCCAATTTCAGACATTTTAAAATGTGAGAAAACTGCATCTTAAAATCAAGAAAATGTGATGCTACACATAAATTATCAGTGGCGGTTTGATAAAATGAAGCCCAAAATCGAGGCTACAGCAATGATCAACTAAACAAAGCCAAAAATTGGTTGGCACAAAACAAATTATACTGCAGGAAAGTGCTGTTCTGTCGTCACTGAACCCAACCATGGATGGTAAAAACAGTTATGCAGGTATGAGTACTGATCTGTCGAGGGTAAAAACAGAACACCTTCACACATAAATAAATTACAGCTGTGAAATAAACAATATTAAAAAAACCTTTTGGCTCGATAAAAAGTGATGGCAAGCGAGGCTGGGATTACCCATATCCACTTTTGAGTATGCTCAAAACTGATGTAAACTATAATACTACCACACAATTGTAGAGATAACAAAATGTAATGTACTCACAGTTAAATACGAATTTGATCCAGTAACCTGTTAAGCTCAGATGTAGGGCATATCCACAAACCTTTAAAGTTAATAGATTACCTAAAACAAAATAGTAAGAACTGATCTCAATTACCTCCACGCTGATCTGCACACCCATAAATTCTGCATTGTTCAGCTCCTTAATAGCTCTAACGGCCATCTCCTCCGTCTTCATGTGCACAAAGCCATAGCG